TAGTTAGTAGCAGCGCGGTGGAAAGATCGAGCACCAGCAACAGCTAGCGATAGCGACCTTTGCTCTGGCCTCGACCTCCGACATAAGATGCGTCTCTATTGGTATCGCGCACGGCGTGGTGTCCTCCATGATCTGGTAGCCCTCAGCACCGTAGGAGCTCCTGCGTAGTCGCCGCGCCCTCGAAGAAAACATTAACGCGCTTTTACTCATGAGGAAGGCCTCACATTGTCCAGTGGAGTGGCCACGCACTCAAATAAGCTCATAGAGCATTTTGAAGCGGTGGCCAGATCCCAGGGATGCTTGGACGCTTCTGATTGGCCATTGCCAATTCTTTTTAGCCAATCACAATGGATACAGGGCGGCGGTCGCCGCGCCAAGCTCCTCGATCGCTGCAATTGCGTCTGAAAATGAAAGTGCTGCAATGCGGCGCAATCGATAGCAGACCGTAAGTCGAGCACGGCAAGCTACTTTAGGTCGGCGTGCAAAGCCTACAGCACGAGAAATCAATCGACTCGTTTTTAAAATTGGCGCGCGCCACATATTGCCACATGTAAGCGATGGCGCGAAAGCTGCTGCCAAGAGAGCCCCGTACGGAACATCTCTCTGGACAACTCAACAATACCGATGTATACTGGTTCACATGTCATATTCATCCATCAGACAACGTTTGTACGCTGGCAGCCTGTCATGAGACTTTGTCGACCACAACACTGCAGAACGCGCCATGTTATCCTCCTCTACATGCGTTCGATGGCGGCAATGCCGAGAAGCGCAAGGCCCTTGCGGAGAACGGCATCGGTCGCGGCGCAGAGCACGAGGCGTGGAGCGTGATTCTGGACGCGGCACGCTTCGTAGAACGCGTGGAAACTCGTAGTGAGGCGGAACATGTACTCGCAGAGCATGTGCGGGTGCCTGCATCAACCGCCTGCATCAAACATCACAGCTCAAAGACTGAGGGTGTACCATCCGGCCTGCGTCTCGAGCAGTGCATCCTCAAACTGGCTCAACACCAACGCCAAGGCACGCTCTGTCGGGTGCCACGTCGCCGACGCCTCTACACGACATTAGGTGGCATGAGCTCAAGAAGCACCACAACGATGACGCACCAAGCAGCACCGCTGCAGAGGCGGGGTCGGCCAAGACTGCGGTCCACGGTTCGTTGAGCCCAGCTTTCCGGCGAATGCCCTAGTCCGCGATCCTGTAGCCATTGTCTCTATGTGATGCCGCGTACCTGGAGGCGCGCGCTCGCATACATGAGGTACACGGCCGTGTTGCCCTTGAGGTTGAGTACCGAGCTGTAGGCAAACTTGTAGTTGCGCTCACGGTGCTGGGCGAGGTCATAGTAGCGCACCTAATACGACTGTTCACTTTGCTGCTATATGTTTCATTGCTCAACGTACGGCCGCGTCACCAATGTAGCCGTGGTCGGCATCGTCGACGACCGACCGTTGCGCACTCTCAATCCCCGCTTGGTTCAAGAGCGCCTCGAGCGACGTCGAGCCGCCTACCGTACACGGTCCAATCAAACACGAGCCAAAACACCCATGCACCTTTGCGCGAACTCAGCTTGGTGCCGTCTTCGCCCATGACGAGGCCAAAGCCAACGTGGTCCAACTGCACGGGACGGTGGTCAGTCCACCTAGAAGCAAATGTTCTATAGTCGCATGAACACTGTCGTATCCGTACCCAGCGCGGCGGGCCGCTTCAAACAAGTGGCGGAAATGCAAGCTTTGGCTGAGATCCGTAATGTAAATGGCGCGGTCGTATGCGATTGGATCGATCGACGGGTCGCCGTGGATGCGCGAGTAGAGGGTCGCGAGGTCCGTCGTCGCGTACAAAAAACCTAGTACAACGCATGTCACATCGAACAATCAATGTATCAAGTGCGACGATACCGCCGTCTTGCTTGCGGATGAGCATTGGCGACTTGTCCTGGCCGTCAAGAAAGATACAGAGCGCGCCTGCAGAAGCGCATGATTGTCATCGCATACTCGAGTTGGAGCGTACCTTGCGATTCGACGGCCAGACCCGATTGCACAAGAAGATCGAGGACCTTTGGGATCAGCGGAAGGTACGTCGCTTCGCCACGCTCTTGAACCTAAGGCAGACAATATTGGTCATACTTGTACTACAAGGGTAGTTACAAGTACGTACAGTGACGTTGAGACGAGCATTGAGAGTGGCAAACGCCGCGCGGCTAATTGCACACGTCTGCTTCCACGGCAGCGTCCACGCTGACACATCGGTCTTTTGCAGCTGGAGCACAACCGAATCGACCTAAGAGAACGCAGTTTATGACCAAATCGGTGGAATCTGGGAGGTTTGAAGCGCGTACTTGGCTTTTGAAAGCGGCGTCGGTCGTCAGGCGTTGCTTGCCGCGCTCGTACCATCGTCCGAGGTCCGCTGCCGAGGCCGACGCGGCGAGGAGGTCGGTACGAGGCGGAAGCGAGCACGCTTCATTGTCAGCATCGTCCATGGCCTGCACGAGCAGCGTAGCAATCGCCGAGCCGAGGTCGCCGACGTGACTGACGCGTGTCACTTCATGGCCTACGACGTTGGATGGTACGTATTCCAAGTGGAAGCGAGCGAGCACCTTGAAACTCGAGGAGGTTACAGACTGTGTCGCCAAGGACGCTCGAGCGCAAGTGCCCAACATGGAGCTCTACGCATCGGTGCAGATCGATGGTAGATGATTGGCCTATGCGACGTACCTTTGCCCATGTTGGGCGATGCAAAGTCGACGATCACGCGTTGCTTGTGGTCGCCCGCCGACCGCGGCTGCACGCCTGTCGTCGCCATCGTGAACGCATGCTGCGCAATCCAGTCGGCGCGCAGCGTGACGTTGATAAAGCCTATGGGCGGTGAGGTTCCGATGAGCGGGTGCGTGGTAGGTCGCACCGGGTGCTGTGACGTCAGCGCGGTCCAGCATCGTCGTATTAGCCTCTGTGAGACGCGTCAAGACAGCCTCCGCGGCAGGCATACGCTCCTTTGCCGGCAACCCGAGGCTCAACACCGCACTCGACTACGCACAGATGTAAGTGGTGGCGGAGGTGCATGATGTTGGCCTACTTGGTAGTCGGTCTGCGGCTGGTGCGACCGCCGGAAGAGCGTGTTTTGGGCCGTCAGCTGCGGGTAGGATGTGGCCAAGAGCGACTGTTGCAGGAGGCTCTGGACCGAGAGCGAGTACGCGCGCTTGTGCACGCCGCGCGCCATCAACATCATCGTCGGTCAAGGAACGTGTGTGTGGAACTCTGGCTTATTATCCAATGGCCTTGCGTTCTGCCATTGCACGCGATGCCATTGGTCAAAATACGAAACAGGGCTTGGAGGGTGGGAGGTGAGAGGACGTGACAGACATGTCGGCGTCAAGACGTGTGATTGAGGACACTGTACAGGTACTATTTGTCGTAATCTATTGGTGACTCGTCACTTGCGAACTTAGAAGCGCATAAACTGGGGCGACGACGGGTCCAAGAAGCGGGCCTCCAGCCGGATGCCCGGGCCCATCGTACTACTGAGGTGCATGGCCTTGATGTACTTGCCCTTGGCACCCTCGGGCTTGGCGTCGCCGATCGCGACCATGAACGCGCGGATGTTTTCAATCAACGCGTCGTCCGAGAAACTAACCTTGCCGACGCCGGCGTGCACGATACCCTTCTTCTCGGCACGGAACTCGACCTGGCCGCCCTTGGCCGCCTACGATCGCGTTATGGCCCTGTCGCCAAATGAATGCCGTACCGAAATGGCTGCTGTGACGTCCTGCGTGACCGTACCCAACTTGGGGTTGGGCATCAAGCCGCGCGGGCCCAACACCTATGCCGCAGCGTGAGGCATCGAACGCAGCGCTGTATAGAAGTGCGTACTCTGGCAACGCGACCGACAAGGGCCATCATATCTGGGGTAGCGATGCACCGGTCAAAGTCAAGCTTGCCGGCCTGGATGTCGGCGAGCAAGTCCTCGGCGCCGACAATCGTCGCACCCGCGGCCTTGGCCTCCTCTGCAGGCGACAGCGATGTGAGCTTGCCATGCCACGGACGAGCAAATCGTGGGCCTACCTGCCTTTTCGCCCTTGGCGAAGACAGCGACGCGGACCGTCTTGCCCGTGCCGTTCGGGAGCGTCACGACGCCGCGCACGCTCTGGTTGGGCTTGCGCGGATCGACGCCGAGCTCGACCACAATGTCGACCGTCTGCATAGGCCATGAGCGCCACCACGGCGGCAAACACTACTACGCACCTCGTCAAACTTGCGGACCGCGTTTTCCTTGCAGTTGGCCAAGGCTGTCGGGAGGTCCAAGAAGGGCTACACAGTATGGCGTGTGAGCGGTGGCCGCCAGCGCCAGGTGCAATCTACCTTCTTCTCGTCGCGGACCTTGAGGCCCAGCGCCGTCTCCGGGAAGCGCGTGACGAGCGAGACGGAGCGGACATGGACGCCCGAAGCGGCGAACGCGGTACGGACACGGGTAAGGAGGAGCGCCATCCTGTTCAGAATCCCAAGTTATGTCGACGAGAACCAGTAAACCGAGCCGGCCGCACTGATTGGTCGACTTGGCACCTCCGATAAAGTGCGCTTTCCAGCGTACTTATTGTTTTCGGCACGCGACGTATTTTCGGCATGGGCCTCGTCCGGCGCTCTTGCTCGAACGCGCTAGGTCTCGCACAGTAGGTCATGTCCATGCAAGGGTCATCCAATACGCATGGATGGTGGAACAAACGCGCGATCTTCTGGCATTTATGCGGATGTTAACATGTATTTATTGCCAGCGCGCTATTCCGACGCCGGCCGATTTCGGTGGCATGTGCCACATTTAAAATCGACAGGCCAGATCCAACACTGGAAGCTGGCAAGGACGTCATCGCCCGCAGGAAGACATATTACGTGTAGAGGACGCTGGTACATCCATGTCATGGACAATATGAGTGGGATTATAGTTGCAATGATCGGATGCACAAGTTGTCAACCGGGGTACTGGACTGCCACACCACCGGCGCCGCCAAAAGCAGCCAATCGCTGACGCGCTTTCAAGATCCTGGCCACGGATTGGCTCAAAATCCTTGTCAGAGGAACTTAAGACGTCCTGTGCACACTCCCAGGCCGCATAAGCCCTTTTGCTTTGCCGAACTCCAGTTGCCACTTGCCTCGTAGCATGAACCTCGACCGCCCTTCCTACATCTACGTCGCCAACCTCGGCGGCGCCTTGCGGCAGATCGCGATCACGACGAGCATGCAGTTCTTCACCTCGGCCAAGGACCTCGCGACGCCCATCGTGTTTCATGTGACGACGACGCCCGAGCTGCTCCTGCACACAGCGCTCGACTACCTGCGCGCAGCCGGCACGACACTCTTTGGCAGCGACGGCAACATGTACTATGCGTCGACGACGACCGACGCGCACGTCCGCGCCATGATCTTTGCCACGGACAAGAGCTTCAGTCGCATGCCAACCCATCGCTTGGAGCCTGCCCTGTCGATGCTCACGGTGCGCCATGGCGCCGAGACGTACTGCGTGCCACTGCCGCGGTCGTACGCCGCCTGTCTCGCCGAACTGCCGGTTGCGCCGACCAAGCTTGCCTACATGCACGACGGCGTCCTCTGCACGGTCTTCTCGGAAGGCTCGTACGAGGCGTTCCTCCAGCGCAACATTGACGAGATCACCATGGAGTCGTCGACGACGCAGGTCGAGAGCGTCATTGTCATGTGAATACCGCCGTTGCCTACCACATGACGGGCTGCTCCTGCGTCTTGCTCGTCCCGTCCTTGGGTACATGGCGGCAGGCCCTGGCATCGCAAGACAGGCCGCAAGAGGCGGCGTCTGCCTCATCTGCGGCGCAGTTCTGCGGCTCTGTTGGATCTTCTTCAGTCAGTTGGAATATCGAACACCCGCCTAGGTACGGAATCCAAAACCGCCTTTCTGCTCGGCCATTCAGTGGGCCAAGAGGGCATGGCAGCGACGGGCATGGCGTCCGCCGGTTGACGCATGGTTGCACGCGGGCACTGCACGTGTAGTACAACATCCTCTGCGCGATCTCGCGAGAGCCATTGCAACATCCTCTTGGCAAGAGCTCCTGTGGTCTTGGTGGCTGTCTTGTCGTGCGTCAGCGCTGCCAGCTGCTAGTTTGTTAAGCGCAATGGACGGGAGACGGTGTGCTCGCCTAGCCCTACGCAGTGCGACGGCAGCTCACATGCGTCCCAGCGTCTGAGTTCAGGCTTAGTCAGGTCGAGGTATAGCCTCTCGGATCTGGCAAATGAGTAGTACGACGACGCAACACAGTGCACAAGCAGATTGTTCGATGTCTTGGCGATCCACAAGCTCCATGGAGCCAAGACTCGTCCTGCGACGCCACATGCGTAGCAGTGTACGCTAGCAAGAGCAGCTCGGACAAGCTCGACATGACTTCGCTCGTCCGAATCCAGCGACAGCCCACCTGATCTTCGCACGTCCGTTGGAGCATTCTCAATAGAGACGTAGCCTGTCACGGCGAGGCTACAGCACCCTGCATTCGCTGCCGCCGGCCATTATGGTGCGACGACGACAAGGACCGCGTGCGTCCACCCGCGTTGCTATAAAAAGCCCCACGTGCTGCCACGTTGATTATCCGGATTCCGGATACCGTGGCATTGGTTGGCTCGATGTGCCATTTTGCAACCAGCGCTCGGACGATGTCGCACTTCTTCCAGAAGCCCGAGAACGCGCTCAAGCGTGCGAACGAGCTTCTGAACACGCCCAATGTGGACGCCAACGTGATGAAGCGGCAGAAGCGGTCGGCGCTGGAGATCCTCCACGAGGCGCTCATCGCCAAGAAGAACCGGACGTGGCAGCCGACGCACGAAGAGCTCATGCTGACGTACCTCACGATCACGATCGATCTGCAGCTTGGCCGGATCGCGAAGGACGGTCTTCACCAGTACCGCAACCTTGTGCTTGCGCAGAACCCGGCGTCGCTCGAGAAGGTGCTCCTCTTCTTCGTCGCCGAGTCGGAGAAGCGCGCGGCCGAGGCCCGCCAGTACTCGACCGAGATCAGTCTCAACGCGGCGGTCGACCTCGAGGCGACGCAGTCGCCGGAGGCCGTCATGCTCTCGACGACGACAGCTGAAGACTCGACCGACCGCACGGACCGCGCAGTCCTCGTGCCGTGGCTGCGCTTCATGTGGGAAACGTACCGCACCGTGCTCGACATCCTGCGCTGCAACACCAAGCTCGAGGGCCTCTACAAGCAGGTCGCGCTCAGCGCGTTCGCGTTCTGCCGCACGTACGCGCGCAAGATTGAGTTCCGCCGCCTCTGCGAGATCCTCCGCACGCACCTCTACACGCTCCAGCGCCACGAAGCCGCGCCGACGACGCAGAGCATCCGCCAGATGCGCGGCTGGGACGGCTGGAGCGCCGACTCGGTCGAGCTCCACCTCGCGATCCGCTTCGAGCAGCTCGATACCGCGTCGTCGCTCGAGCTCTGGACCGAAGCCTTCCGCACGGTCGACGACGTCCACCTTGTGTTTGGCTTTCTCGAGAACCTGCCCAAGCCGACGCTCATGGCGACCTTCTACCACAAGCTCGCCGAGGTCTTTTACATTAGCAACAACCACGTATACCACGCGTACGCTTGGTTCAAGTACTACACGCTCATCCAGCGCGAGCGCTTGACGCCGATCATGGAGCTGCCGCTGCTTGCGTCCAAGGTCGTGCTCGCATCGCTTTCGATCCCTGTCCAGGCCAACAACGTGGCGCTGCTTGAGAACGCCGACAACGCGGCCGTGCTGCTCGAAGAGAAGGACGAGCACATGGCGGCGCTTCTTGGCTTTACGCAGCTTGCGCCGCCGACGCGCCAGCAGCTCCTCGACGACATGGCTGCCTTGCACATCGTTGACGCTGCGTACCCGAGCGTCCGCGCGTTGTACCAGACGCTTGAGCGGTCGCCGATCGACCCGCTCGCGGTGGCGGCTGCGGTCGCGCCCCATGTTGCGTCGCTCAAGGCCGATGCCGGCCTCGCCAAGTACGCGCCGGCCGTCGAGAAGCTCGCGGTCCACCACGTGCTCTCGCAGCTCACCGAAGTCTACTCGAGCGTGACGGTGTCGCACTTGAACACGCTCACGCAGGGCCTGAGCATGAACGTGACGGAAATGGAGCAGTGGATCGTCCGGTCGCAGTCGAACCGCGACCAGAGCGCGACGCGCCTCCGTATCGACCACCGCGCCAACGTGGTGCGCTTCTCGCAGACCATGGCCCTCGAGGGCCAGGCCAAGCAGATGACGCAGCTCGGCCAGAAGCTCCAGGCGTGCGTGCGCCAGCTCCCGAGCACGACGTCGGCGCGCCCGAGCGTCTTTGCCAACGCCCGGACCAACCTGTCGTCGGCGCGCGATGCGATGCTCGAGCGCAAGGTTCGCATCGAAGCGCAGAAGGAGGCCTTTGAGCGCCTCATGGCCGAGAAGGCCAAGACCGAAGAGAAGAAGCGCGTCGAAGCCGAGCTCCTGCGCCAAAAGCAGGAAGCCGACCGGCTTGCGGCCGAAGCGCGCCGCCGCGAGGAAGAAGCTGCCCGCCGCATCCAAGAAGAAATCGAGCGCAAGGACATTGAGAAGACGCTCAAGAAGCTCGGCATGAACACGGACGACGTCGAATTCGACACGGTCGACAAGGAGAAGCTCCTCGCGGACGCCAAAGAGAAGGCCATCAAGCAGAAGGAGGAGGCCCAGCGCAAGCTCAAGGACGCCGCGCGCCGCCTCGACTACATTGTGCGTGCGACGCGCGAGGCCGAGCAGCCGATCCTGCAGCAGATCTTTGACGCCAAGCAGGTATTCTTATTCTTATTGTTGGGGACGATGCGATTGATACCTTGATATTTATAGACGGAGGAGCGCAACGCGTTCGAAGCATCGTGGGCCGCGACGCTCAAGGCGGCGGAGGACGAACACACGTTTGGCCTTGCCCAGAAGGCGCTTCTGGCCAAGTGCCAGGACGCGTGCGTGGCGTTCTGCGATGCCCACGTCGCCCGCCAGGCGCTCAAGTTCCAGGCGATTGTCGACGAGCGCAAGCTCCGCTTTTCGATCGACGTGCTGGACGACAAGATTCGCCGTGCGAAGGACCGCGAGTACGAGTACGAGGAGAAGCTCCGCCTCGAAGCCGAGGAGGAAGAGCGCCGCATCGCCGAAGAGGAAGAAGCCGCGCGTGAAGCCGAGGCCGCCGCGGCCCGTGAAGTCGAGCGCCTCCGCCTCGAGGAGGAAGAGGAAGCCCGCCGCCAGGAAGAGGCCAAGGCCGCCAACAAGTACGTGCCGCCGACACGCCGCGCGCCCGAGCCCAAGGCCGGCGACGACGAGGGCTGGTCTTCGGTGCGAGGTGGCAACCGCCGCGCGGACGATGGCTTCAAGCGCGAGCCCTCGGGCCGCGACTTTGGCGCCCGCCGTGATGACGCGCCGCCGTCGCGCTTTGGCGGCGACCGCGATGGTCCGTCCCGCTTTGGCAGCGGTCGCTTCAACCGTGACGACGCCCCGGCGCCGTCGCGCTTTGGTGGCGACCGTGATGCGCCGCCGTCGCGCTTTGGTGACCGTGAGAGCTCGGGCCGCTTTGGCCGTGACCGCGATGACGCGCCGCCGTCCCGCTTTGGCGGCGACCGTGATGGCCCGTCGCGCTTCGGCCGTGATCGTGATGACGCCCCGCCGTCGCGCTTTGGCCGTGACCGTGATGACGCCCCGCCGTCGCGCTTTGGCCGTGACCGTGATGACGCCCCGCCGTCGCGCTTTGGTCGTGACCGTGACGACGCGCCGCCGTCGCGCTTTGGCGACCGTGAAGGCTCGAGCCGCTTTGGCGGTGACCGCGAGAGCTCGGGCCGCTTCGGCGACCGTGAAGGCGCAAGCCGCTTTGGTGGCGACCGTGAAGGTGCGCCGCGCTTCGGTGGTGACCGTGAAGGTGCGCCGCGCTTCGGTGGTGACCGTGAAGGTGCGCCGCGCTTCGGTGGCGACCGCGAGAGCTCGGGCCGCTTTGGTGGCGACCGCGACGGCCCGCCGCGCTTCGGCCGCGCCCGCGAAGGCGAGCCGGACGCCCGCCGTGACTCTGGTGCCCGCGCGCCGGACGCCAAGTGGCGCTAAACACTCGGTAGTGTTGTAACACGACTGACATCGTTGCCTCCTATTTATATACGACGACTTGTTTAATCATGAAATGTACAGTCTCGTCCCATGGATGTACAATTCTGTCCTCGATACAACACATCCCGGTGGCAAACTAATATGACGTGGCGCCCTGAGCAACCACCAAGAAAAAACGAGCCAATCACAAACTGAGCAGCGAAAATGCAAGCTTCCACGCGAGATCGAGCAGTGTCCTGGTCATATGCCATACTGTACCTGTGCTACCCACAGCCACAATGCCCGACCCTCGCTCTCACATAGAGTACCTGCACTACAGTCTTCGGCGTATATTCGCAACCGTGGTTATCCTCATTTGTTGCTACCGAGGTCGTTGCCAATACACCAGGCAACAAGCGCTGTCGCAGCTTTCACACTGACTCTCGTCCGCCTTCGGAATCCAGCATCGAGTCAAGGACGAGCATCACGCTGCAGTCTACGATGGCTCGTTCCAACCCGCTGTTTCATACTAGTAACCTATCAATAGGACTCTATACAGACAGTCCACCGCAAGGAACGGTCGCATCTGCATGCTCTTTTCCTTTGCGTCGAGCCGCGTCCTGCCCACGGCGGCGATGCTGCCGTCCGAGGTGGGCAGGATGCGTCGGCGGCGTCGCCAGCTGCTCACGCTGGGCTACTGCCTGAGCTGTCTTTGGAACCTTGCGTCGCCGTTGAAAGCGTGGGTCCTCACGCGCTACGGGTTTGCCGCGACCAACGACATTCTGACGCTGACGCTGCAGTGGAACACGGTGCTCAACAGCCGCCTCTTGACACAGCTGTATTTGGCGGCGGGTATTCCGCTCTCGGGCCCGATCGTGCCGACACGCTATATCAACGTGTTTTTGGACTTTGTCGTCGTGCCGCGCTCGCAGCTGCTCTGGGCCGCGTCGTTTGAGAACACGAATGCGTCGTCCCAGCTCGACGTCGAGGGTGCGAGTTACCGCTGTCGTCTCAACGGGTCGGCGCAGCGAGCGCGGTTCGACAAGGACATTGATGCATTTGCATCGTCGGGGTTTCGGCTCTGGGGCAGTGAAGTCATTACCAAGTTCGTTCCGCCCCAGAACGCGCCGACCAACCTCCAAGAGATCACTGAGGGCGTGCTGTGTCTCCGCGGCATCAATCTCGAAGACTATGTCAACCTTGTGGACCAGTCGCACCTCCAACCGTACACAAACGAGACGGACCTCGCCGCGATCCAAGCGTGGCGTCACACGATGTTCCCCGACCTCAACGCGTGCTTGGCACGACGGCGCGCGCTCATAGCATCCTCGACCTCGACTGCAGCTGCTCTCAATCTGCTGGCCACCGAGCTCGCAATCAACTACAGTGTCGGGCTTCTCAACGTCGCGGGCAGCGCCCAGCTGTACCGCCCGATCACCTTCAACGACGGCTATATCGACTTGTCGGGATCTCGGTCTGGCACTGTGACGTACCAGATCAGCGGCCCAGACCCAATGCACGCGCTCTCGGCGGGCTCGAGCTCTCTTGGCGTCATGCTTGCTGCGCGCGAGACCGCGTGGTGGTGCTCGATCCAGTATGTTGATTCCGTGACCAACCTCCCGAGCCCTATCCAGTGCTTTGAGCGGTACAGCTCGACGCTTCCAAGCTTCTTTCTCGGCAAATACCTCGACCATAACACTGGCACGCGGTACCTTGACAACAATGCCTTGACGAAAACGTCGTCGCGCGGCCAGCTCTCGAGCTACGACTATATTCGCCCAAACGTTGTACCGCTCGAGGCGATAACGACAGTGCAGCCTGGCAACCTCACGGGCTGGAACGCTCTATGGAAAGACCTATTGCGCGCGGTGGACGCGAATGTGGCGGCGTCGGACGGCCTCGAGGAGCTGTGCTTTGTCGGCGACGGCTGCTTTAGCGCGTGTGCCAACGCCAGCGCCAGCGGCGGCGCCACGCTCACGTACCGCCGCGGCAACACTTGCGTAGCGACCGCCGACACGATCGCGCACGGCCTTGCAGATGTGTTTGCAGACATGGCCTGCTTTGCTCTAGGCCGCGGCTCCGACGCTGTTCTCATCACATCGATTGGCATTGATGGGACGCGCAAGCAAGCGGTTGCCGCCAAGACGGCCAGCCCCACAGCCATCTGGACGTGTCTCATTGGCGGGCGCGCACCGCAGACGTCGTACCCGTCGCTGGTCGTCGATCTCTTGAGCCAAGGCACGCAAGCAACGCTCGTGGTGGTCAAGTCGAATGGCAGCGAAGCCACGATTCTCAACTTTTTGTCGCTCCTCGCGCTCGGTGGCGACATCTACTACAGCTTTGAAACCGGTCGCTACCTCTATAAGCTCTATACGTGGTTTGACGCGCACCGGCAGCTGCGCATGCACGCGGCCCAGCGCGTCTTTAGCGTAGTCAATTCGAGCGTGAGCGGCGCGATCTGGGCCCGTCACCGTCTCTTCATGCGCACGGCTACGTTTCTCGGTCTTTGCGCGTGGCACCTCGGCGCGATGCAGAGCGAATGTGCGTGGGCCGACACGATCAACGACGTCAGTGTCGACGCGCAGTACGCCTGCCATGTGAAAATCTGGGGCCACGTAGCGTCCAACGCCGACAGACTCCGGTTGGTTTCGTGCTCGTGGAATCTGTTTGCGATGGCGTTTCTCGATACGATGCCCGGGATTACTGTCAACGCGGCTGGGTACGCGCTGGCGTGGTTCTCGCTGGGGCTGCTGCCATTGACGCTTCTTGCCGCGGGCGTCGCCCAAGTGTGCGCGTGGCGACTCGTGCTGCCGGGTCTCGCCTGGGTCCACAACCAGCTCTTCCTCGTGCTTTTGTGGGCGTTGGTGCTACGTTGCTTGCGTCATCCATCCGTGCAGCGATGCCTGGTGCTGTGCATCACACCGCTGCTCGAGGTCGTGCGCGTGCGGTCGCAGAAGCTCGATAAATCGAGTCCGTTCTTTGGCCTCATTGGGCCAAGCTTTTGGATCGACGTGGCCGAGTGGCGACCCGAGCCGACCAAATACGTTCCATTGAGCGTCCTCCTCGAGTGCTCCAACGTACGCATTGCCAATGTTGTTGCGCACGAGTACTTTGCGTGCGGCCTCTGCGATGACGAACGCAGCGCGGGCTCCATAGCTTCCAATCATCCGACTTGGCTACACGCATCGAGCGAGTACTATGTCTGCGTCCACGCATGCGAACAAGCATGCTACGTACGGTCATGTAGCACCCCGGCCTGTCACGGGACCAAGACATGACAGTAGCAGGTTTGTTTAATAAAGGGCACTGTCATGACCCGTATCTGAACTCACACTTCATTTGCCACGATGCGAAAGGCGGTTTCGTGACGTGGCACAACGA